GTCAGTTTTCCGCACTCTCGCGGGAATATCTCCGCAATGGAGCGAGGTTAAGTTTCACTTTCGATTGCATGATATAGCGCAGTGCAACACCTTCATCACACATGTTGCCACTTGTTTGTACCATTTTCAGGCNTGTGGTGCGCCCCCTAGTGGTCCGTGAGTATATTGGTAACATTTCACATTTGAAATAAATAAATACATTTCAGTTTTCCGCACTCTCGCGGGAATATCTCCGCAATGGAGCGAGGTTAAGTTTCACTTTCGATTGCATGATATAGCCCAGCGCAACACCTTCATCACACATGTTGCCACTTGTTTGTAATCTGTTCTAGAAAAACGATGTATTTTTTATATTTGTGGAGTTAGGTGGTCCGCGAGTGTTTTTTTATTGGTTAAGTGGTCCTTGGTATGAAAAAGTTTGAGAAACACTGGTTTAACTCGACTAAAAAAAGAACTGATTGTCTCACCTGCATAAAATCCACTGTCATCCACTTCCTCCTTCTTCTCTCCCTCTTCCATTCTCACATTTATTTTCTCTTTTACAGCTCTGAAAGTAAAAACAATACTAAGTTGACGTGACATGCACTTCTTCAAAAAGCTCTTGCAACTGAATGGAGATCCTTCCTTCCCATCTTACCTCCAGTTATCCCTCAGTGATTCGGGCACTACATCTTCCGGAGTCCAAAGGTCCTGAACGCAGAGCAATCATTAAAATGTGGATATTATTTTGTGGAGCAGGAAAGAGTTCATCTGCTTCAGTACTTACTGGATCTGTGAAACTGAAGTCAAGGTTCTCCATGCCAAAATACAGAAGCTTCTTCTCATCTAAAGCACGATTAATGTATCCGACAATCTCCTGTGAAAACAGAAATGGAGTCAGAATGAAGAAAAGTAAAACAATGAAATATATATTTGAAGTCTGCATGTCTTTAATGACTGAACAGGGTTTTCTCACTTCTTTTGGTCAAGTAAAAACATAAAATGAACGATGATTATTAGAACAAAAGTGGTGGATTTAATGTAATGGTCTGATATACCTGAGCAGGCTGAGTGCCCTGTGACTCTGTGTCTCCTCCTAGTGTCTCAGAGTAGAGCTGCAGGTTGTCTAAAGAGTCATGGTCGGAGGGGTAGAAGAGGAGCAGAGAGCGCAGCGTCTGCACGGCTCCACCAACATCACCAGCTGTGGGGACGCAGACATGCAAAATAAGAAGGAGTGGCACTCGAAAAAGGATTGTGGTATAATGCAAACTTCACTGTATATTGTTTGTATTAAATATAAATCAAAACCGCATCCATTCGTGCAAAATCCTTGTTAGCTATGTATATTTCTGTGTATTTACTTTGATAGCAACAAACCCAGATTCAAATGGCATCAATGTGTTTGCATACTTTGCCAATAATGCTTAGTTTTTATGTTAATTACATTCTATTTCATTTAGCTAATGCTTTGCTTCGAAGCAAACTCACAAGAAGTGCATTCAACCATGATGAAGAAATGTTTCTAAAAGCAAGAATTCTACAGGTACATTACATTCACATGTTAGACGCTTTTATCCAAAGCGACTTGCATACTCAATACTGTGGGCAATCCCCACAGGAGCAATTTGGGGTGAAGTGTCTCAGGGACACAACGACATGCTGACTGCAGTGGGGTTTGAACCTGTTCCCCCCTGATCCCAACACCAACGCACAACCCACTGTGTCACACGCCTCCCTGTGGCGAAAACATTAGTTTTCAATAAGCCATTGTAAGTGCTACTGCATTGGCTTCAGTGCTCCACACAGAAGACAGATGTTTATGTTATATTCCGGCTAAGGTGCAGTGGAAACAGATTGGTTTTCAGTCCGTGACATTAGATGAGTAGACTTTCTGCTTTCCTGAAGTCTATAGGGAGCTCCTTCAAACATTTTGGAGCCTGCTTAGCAACAGGTGTGTTTTTGTTGAGGGGTATCTGGGTCCAACTCGCAGTGAGGGAGTAACTAAATAGAATTCAGAATAAGGTAAACATACAGCATTAGAACATGTAATGATATTCAGCTTGACCTCCAGACCCTGACCTTTAAACTGTGCGATGTGCCGATGCTCCAGCTGTGTGGGCAGGAAGTCCTCCTGAGAAGAAATCCTCCCGGGTCTCGTGGCGACCCGAGTCACACAGGACTGCCGGCATGAGAGCAGGGAGAGGGAAAGATCTAGAAGGAAAGAAACAAAATGACAGCGATTAATTCCTTTCTCTTAAAAGGTCCCCTATTATACTGTTTCTAATCAATATATTATGGTCTCAGATATATACAGAGCCTGTCTCTGATTGGCTGAAACACCAAACAGATCATTGCAGCATTACCCATAATCCCCTCTGTTTTAGCCCTGTTTCCAAAGTGCTGATTCTCTGTCTGTTACTTTAGATGAAAATAAGGAGCCCCTCCCCACGCCCCTCTGAGAGACATTTGGTTACAAAGAATACAATGGTGCTCTAGGAGGAGATTCTGGTGACAAGGATGTTGATGTAGAAGAGACATGAAGAAGAGGGGACACATGTTGATGTAGAAGAGACATGAAGAAGAGGGGACACATGGTGATGTAGAAGAGACATGAAGAAGAGGGGACACATGTTGATGTGGAGGGGACACATGTTGATGTAGAAGAGACATGAAGAAGAGGGGACACATGTTGATGTAGAAGAGACATGAAGAAGAGGGGACACATGTTGATGTAGAAGAGACATGAAGAAGAGGGGACACATGTTGATGTAGAAGAGACATGAAGAAGAGGGGACACATGTTGATGTAGAAGAGACATGAAGAAGAGGGGACACATGTTGATGTAGAAGAGACATGGA